AGAAAAAGGCACAAAACGGGCGACAAGACCTGAAAGAGGAAAGTGCGAGCGGCCGTTTCGCCGACTGCATACAGACTTTTATGCGAGTGAAACTTTTCTAATTTCTCTTTGATGGCATTCGCCGCGTCTTGACCTACATCTCCAAATCTGTTTATTTTGTATTTTATGTGCATGCACACACGATCAAGCACATCGTCCGGATTTTTCTCACCGGCAACAGATGATGCGGTTCGAGGTCATTTTTAAAATGTGGTGCCGATTTCTAAATAAAAGAATACGACTCGAGGGGAGATCCTGCTGTTGCAGGATGCAAGCCTCGGCCTATTCCCGTTTCTAAAAACATCAGTCTGGAGCTGGGCCGCGATTGATTTTTATTGTCGCGGAGAGCTCGGGGAGAATTTTCGTTCCCTACGACCTACACAGCATCTCTTAGGGCACACGTGAACAATGCTCCGTTGCGTTAATCGCTACAGTGTCTTTGCGGAAACAACACGGAATGAAATGGACCAAGAAACACGGAAAATGGACGCCAAATGAAAAGGGAAAAATAAAGCACATGGTGCTAAAGTCTTTTTGAATGAAAATTTTGCAGTGTAATCAAGTCTTAATTCATTAATTTTACAAGTTAAGTAACTAATCAAAGATAGAAATATAGGAAATTAGCTTGGAAAGTAATAAGAAAGTATCTAATCCGTTTAAGAGATTTTTCTAAGAAATTAATTTTATCTATATCATCAATGCAAGGCTATAATGACGGAAATTAATATTTTTTATTGCTTTTGTCAATCTTTTTCGAGGTTCATTCATGATTTAAATTTGTAAAAAAGGGTAGCAGAGTGTTAACTTAAATACACTATTTGTGGTAAGCTCTTGAATTTATTTAACTAATTTATTTTTGATATCCAAATACCGCTACGTAATAAAACTGTCTTTTTTTAACAAAATAATTAAACTAATTTAGTGACTGTCAATTAAATAAAATAAGATTCCATAACTATGTTTTTCTTGTGCTTTACTGCGTTACTCGTGATGATAAAGTGAGATTGCTAACGTTTAGTAAAACTTTGAAAGTGATATAAAGTGTCATGTCATAATTTACAGGCAGCAATTAATTAAATATTATGTTAAAAAAATGCTTACAGTATTAAAAAATATATATTTATATGTGCCTTTAGAAATAAGATTAACTTATTTTTTTCTTTATTTTATAGTCGCTACCTAAGGCTAAAAAATCAAGACACTAAAATCTATGATCATTTGGAAATTAAGTTTTTTGTAGAAAAATGATAACGTAATAATAAACGTCATGTAATTTAGTTACTGGATTTTAAGAAATATTTAGTTGGCGTTTCAATAAAACACTTTATTTATTTTCGAATTGGGTTATACCAATTTCTTCTGAATTATATCTTGTTTTCTTTATATTTTATTTTAGTGCTCTATAAGTGTGTAACTTGGCGAACTTTTCCTTTCGAATTGTCGAGGAAGTGTGAGCTTTATAAGAAAACAACTAAAGAAGCACCCTAATTTGTTGACTTATTTACTTTTGGTGGTTCTCGTTCGTTGAAGAGGTTTTTGAAGTATGTTGGCCGGTAATTTTCTTGTAGCTATTATCCCTAATTACAAATTTTCGTTTTTCGACACGTTGGAGTTTGCCACGTTAGCTTTGAGGGAAAATCGAATAGAAACAAATCTGCGAAGTATTTCATTTTCAATTTTCCGCGATCCTCCGACATTTTCCTATTTTCCGTGCAGATTATAAGGACGAGGAGCGAGTGCAAAAAATGGCAGTCCTTGTCTGCAAAAAGCCCCAATTAAAACCGAAGTTGTAGTAGTGCGTGCGCCGAGCATTTCTCTCGATCTATCACGGGGTAGCAGCATCCCTCCGTAGGCTCACTCTCTGGCCAGTCTTAGTTTGCGCTTTCCCCAGAATTCACTGAAGGTCGTCGAGGTCACCAAGTAAGTACACAGTGCATGTGCACTTGCATGCATGCTTGCACTTTCTGTGCCCCCGTGACCCCCGCGCGCCGCCGCCGCCACCGATGCATTAGCGTCTCTGTTTTGGTCCTTATATCCATCCGCTTTTCTCTTCTTCTGTCTATCCTTCAACTTTCCTTCGCGGCTCGCAACTTTACATTCGGCAAGTAATCAAGCTCTGGAAACGCTTCTCCATCATAAAACTGTTTCGCGTTCGACCCTTAAAAGCGAGACTCATTATCGATTGCTCCAAGACGAATTAAAAAGCCGCAGCACTCCGCTAAAACCGGCATTAATTTTAGCAGATCAGATTTTTTTTTTCGAAATTCCGTTGAATTGAAGAGATCTTCTCCCAGATGCAGACGATCCCCGGACTAATCCGGAGGGTTGCCTGGCGAGCGGCACTCGGCTTTAGGCTCCGGGGCACGCATTGGGGGAAAGTGATGCGGTGTCTGGACCAATCAATACCGGGTTCAAGGACGGCTTCTCTTATATGTGTATGTGAGCTTCCTTTTCCCGCTCATCAAAACGGGACAAGACGGGAATTAATTGCACGACAATTGGAACGCCAACTCTCCATATGGGACGACAAAATGGACGCATCAAACAAAATATAATGCACATAATAAGATTTTTTTAAGAAAAAGAAAAGAAAACTAAAAATTCTCAAAATATTATTTTTGTATTTTTTTACAGTCTCTTCTTCGAACGGCAGACCAGCTGAAAATCAAAGGCCTCTGTGAACCCCCCGACGAAAAAGAGAATTCACCAATAGAGCCTCAATATTTCCCCAAAAATTTTTCCAAAGTTAGGAAGTCGTCATCACCTAAACAATTTAAGCCACAAGACAATAACAAAAGATACAAACACAAGAAACCACACTTAGACAATACATCGGATAAGGAAGATAATGGTAGTATAGAAGCACATTCTTCAGACGAGGAACATGATATGCCAGTAGCTTTAAATGATCACAAAAGAAAAAGGGCGGAGCCTGAACAAGTAAAACCACTCAACATGAGCAGTCATGGGATTTTGACGGGGCAGGTAATAAAAGAAAAAAATTTGTTTTTTTAAAACTAGCTATTTATTAATGATTAACAGTAGGTTCATAATATTCCTATTAACACACTAACTTCCGTACCCCTTTTCTTCTTTTTCTTTTGGAACTGCGATGATATGCAGACGATCTTCTCTCAGTTTGGAGTAGACACAGATGACTTCCCTCCAGAACCACCTGCGCCTTCGGCGATCCCAGTGGGTCATGTGGATATGCAAGACCATTCCCCAACTCGTACCCTCCTCACCAACACCATACACAGAACGGATTTATCCGACTCCAATGTCAAATACTGCGATATCAAAAAAGAGGCAGATATCAAATTTGAAACGTTGCGATCCTACGACCAAGACTCTTTACTCGAGATGGATTCACACATGTCCGGCCCTGATCATTCCATGGATAGTCACGAGGATGACCAAAGTATGCACCAGATGATGGTCACTCCAGAACTGATGGGTATGATGCCGGGAGTTTCAAATAGATTAGGTCAGATGACCGAAATTTGCAAAATAGTTGTTTAAACGTAGTTTTACAGAATTAAGTAGCAACGAAGTACCTGCATTAAAAAATAACGGGCATTCAGACAGTGTGCATCACACGCCGAGATCGCACGGCGGAGGCCCGAAAACTTGGACTCAGGAAGATATGGATATGGCCTTAGATGCTTTAAGAAATCACAATATGAGCCTAACAAAAGTGAGTTTGGCCAATTGTGAGACATTGTAGATTTTTTGTTTTTTTTTTTTTAAGGCTTCAGCAACTTACGGTATTCCCTCCACTACGCTATGGCAGCGTGCTCATAGATTAGGTATAGATACGCCAAAGAAAGAAGGACCGACAAAGTCATGGACTGAAGAAAACTTAAACAGTGCGCTTGAGGCGCTGAGAACTGGAACAATTTCTGCCAACAAAGCGAGTAAAGCTTACGGTAAGCGTTAAAAGTTGCCACTTTTTGCGTTGGCTAATTGTGGTTTTAGGTATTCCCAGTAGCACTTTGTACAAAATAGCCCGCCGCGAAGGCATCCGGTTAGCCGCCCCATTTAACGCCGCCCCCACGACGTGGACCCCTGAAGATCTCGAAAAGGCCTTAGAATCCATTAGATCAGGTCAAACGTCCGTGCAAAAAGCCTCGACCGAGTTCGGCATTCCTACGGGAACTCTTTATGGAAGATGTAAGCGGGAAGGGATTGAACTTTCCAGATCGAATCCTACGCCGTGGTCCGAGGATGCCATGGGAGAGGCACTGGAAGCTGTTAGGTGGGTTCGAACATAAAGGGGAAGCCTGGTTTTCACGAGTAGTTTTAGGTTAGGACATATGTCCATAAATCAGGCTGCCATACACTACAATCTGCCTTATTCGTCGCTGTATGGCAGATTTAAAAGGGGTATCAAGTACGAATCGGATAATATTGAGCCAAATTCCGATAGTCAGTCCCAAATGGACGGTCACAGTTACGGAATGGATTACGCGAATACTCATCAACAAATTCAATACCAGAATCAGACAAATAGCTGAGATATAGTTTTTAACTTTGATAGTTTTTAGTATAGTGAAGATTCTAATTTTTTCAAAGAAGGGTTTTGTGATGAAGGAAGTGTGTCAGCTTAATTAAAAGACTTAAGTTTTCAAATTACCAACTTAGGCTGTTGTATTGATACTTAATTTTTTGTTTTGTTTTTTAGGATAAGTTGCCTTTTTCCGAAAGGCGATATTACAAAGTGCAATATTAAACCATTTAATACCATTAGGACTAGTGTACAGATCTTGCATATTCTTCTAGCTAATTTATTCAAGCAATGTTCTTGTTGCTAGCTATGGGTTCTTGTATATAATTTCAACTTATAATTATTGTTTTATTTACCTCAGCTGCACTCATTTTTGCTATTTGTGTACTTAGATATTTTTATTTATTATGTTTACATTTTTTGAGCTCTAAGTGATCCGAGTCAGTTTTTTGTTTTTAATAAAAATTTTAAAACTTATCTTATTTTTATTTAAAGTAAAACAGTATTTATTCTAAACGTAAACACACACATTTTTACATCAAAATTACAAATATACATTAAAAATGTCATACTGTTTACAAAAATAAACTGGGAAGAGGATTGTCGACAGGGTCTAAACACATTTACCTAATCACATTTAGAATACCAAAATTGATTAAGTTTAGGAGCCATCGAGTTAACTAACCATCTAATGGTGTTTTAAACCTTTTTACCTAAAAGCAACACTTAATATTATTTACATTATAAATATATTCAGTCAGGTACATAAAAAATTTCCGAAACCGAAGCGGCTAACAACACCGCTCCACTACAACACAATACGTTCATCATTAAGTATAAATTAAATATCAAGTGTAGTGCCGTTACTTGTGATTACAGGATCGTGAGTATTTAAATTGAGAGTTCCCATAATCACGCCAAAACATCCTCAGTCTCATAATTACGTGGAATTGGTGATTGGATCACAACTGATCACTTGTCATCAAAGGGAGTTTTGACAAAATAAGTCGTTAAATTGCCTTTTCCTTTGACGTAAGTTACTCCTCTGCATTCGCATTGGTATCCCGCATTCAATAAAATTTTGGCCGTTTCTTCAGTCACCTGAATTTTCCCCATAATGCCACAGGAGTCCATTCGAGAGGCGACGTTGACTGTATTACCCCAAATATCGTATTGGGGTTTCTGGGCGCCTACAACCCCTGCAATCACAGGGCCGTGATTCAGACCTAAAAAATAAATACTGTTCACCACAAATCTGTAATTTGATTTAGTTTCAGTGACTAATGCAAGAGGGCGTATGGGGTGTAATTTGGGAAAGAGAATATAAAAATAGTTTTTTGTTACTGAAACATACCAACTCTAAGCTTGAATCTTTGAAAAGCGTCTCGGTTAATTTGATCAAGGCTTGTCATCAACGACACAGCAAAATCCACTAGAGCGATAATAATGTGCTCTTCCTTCCGACTTGCCTCCTGAAATTGATTACCCAGTTAAATTTGTTTACAGTAATTCAATATGTCGAACATTCACGTCCACTTTATTTACCTTGAGGACTTCCTACAGGCAATTTTGTACGTTTTGGAAAAAAATTACACTTCTTTTACAAGAAAATTTTGATTGAAAGTTTCTAAAAGCCGCAAATTATAGTAAAAAAGGGCGTAAATATAAACAACCAGAGGCGGATCGTTTCATACAAAGGCTACTTGTAAACACATAAAACACTCATCCATTATTGTAATCTGCAACCGTAAATTTTATTCATTGATCATAACTTTTATGGGACGTAAAAATTGTTACAAAGTGGTCAAACTATCCGGCTCTGATTTCATTTTTGCTTGCAAGAGTCGACAAATAAAAATAGTGCTAAAAGCTTCTGCTATAAGCAAAAGAATGGCAGTTGTACCAACCGTGCTGTTTTCTTCTGCTCCAGGTCGGAGACCGGAAGCCAACATATATGTACTGCCAATAGTCTTTATCTTCTCTATGCAACTAAACTTTGGTTTGAGCAACAGCTGAAACAACAACAATATTTAGATTAATTTAGAACTTAATTAGCAAATTCGAATGTGCAAGCGTTAATAAATTCGTGCTTTATTACTAAATATGTACTTTGTCAAATTCACAAATGATCTCGTTGAGCAACCGGAGACATTCCAATCCTTGTTTATTGACGTCACTCTCGTCGTAAAATTCTTTGTAATTTGGTATTGACGCGAACATTACGGCTATACATGAGTACCTCTCGTGGTACAGTTCTTGTGTGTCTCTAGAGGCTAAAAAGTGTTCGGCCACATGGGCGGGTAAGATGTTTTCCAAGAGAATCTAACAAAAGTTATGGTAAGAATTAATTCGTTGTTGAATTTTTGTGTACCTTATTAATTCCTCGCATAGTTTCTACTTCTTCTTGCTCTACTTTTAGTTTGGCTTTCCATAAATAATCGGTCCTTGAAGTAAACTCAATTTGTCGGTCCAGAATGTGGAAGAATATCACGATAATCGTAAGGACCAGGGCGGATTTTACTTCGAATGGTATTGCAAAAAATCTAACAAAAATCTGATTTATGATTGTTTTCGGATAAGAACAACAAACTGACTTATCATTATGATAATCCCTAAAGAAGTCCAAATAGCTGTAAATGAAGATATGTATTATCACAGATGAGACCATGAGTCCCAACTTCAGAATAAATCCCATCCTTAAGAACACCGAAATTGCAGCTAGTGCCAATGCCGAGCTGTATAAATAAGTCTAGAATAAAAATTTTTAGTCAAAATTTAACTACAGTCGAGATTAATAATAATTACCGGTCCTATCGAGTAAATCTCCGCATTGAATTCATTTATCAAAGTACTCAATGTTCGGTTGTCTATGACAGATCCATTTTTCTCTACATGTACTTCTCTCATTGTGGCTGTTAACGGCTCTGGGTCATAATCCACCTGGAACAAATGACTATTAAGCCCATAATCGGATTCTCCGGAAAAATCAGGATAGGAATTTGAAATTTCCCCGTACCAGCGTGACAACAGTGCAGGCCGAAATCAGCGTCACCGACACCAGGAAAATGGCGAGACGAAGACACCTGCTCCCAGTCACAACTTCACCAGGTGGTGAGCAAGCCCCCGGTTCGTCAGTGGGGGTGTCTGAGGGCGGCCGAGGGCCGCAACAGCCGTCCAACCAACATAAATACACAAAAACGGTTAAAACCACCATCGTAGGGCTGAGTGTGCCGTACAAAACTATAGTCCTGCAAAAAATTACTTGAAAATTTCGCAGCTCGTCTAATTATTTTAGAAGGCTTTTTGCATGATAATGAAATAAGGGTGGTTAAATCTGCATATTTAATTACAAAATTTTAGGTATCATTCCGATTGTAAGGGAAAGAAGTAGTTTAGCCCTAAAACTTAGCACGTGGGGAAAGATTAATTAACAAAAAGATGGAATTTGGGATGAGATGGGTTGGCTGACGGCTCTAATTTTGAGATTATAATCACAAAGTCTTGTTTATCCGCTTTCTACCTGGGTATGGTGGTAATCTGCATAATGCACATCGCTAAGAAAATGGAAGTCGCGAAAGCAATGTAGCAGCGGAACTCGGGATCTGGCTGACTCCGGTATTCGCTCTCTTGTTTTCGGTTGCGGAACCATAGGAGGGTTGGATGAAGATCTTCGCTGTGCCAGCATTTCCTGCGAAAATCGAATGAGGAAAGCGGAAATTACACATACGTTCTGCGCCACTTGCTTTTATGTGTCTAATAACTTACTTGCATTCCAGGCAGGTGCTACGGTCCGGCAAGAGATTAGACTCGATCATGGCCAAAGTCTGTGAACGAAATTACAAAATAAGCTCTCGGTGTTAAGTGCTTAATTGTTTCTGCAAAGCTCGGCCTTTTCTAATCAAGCAATTAAATTTTCACTGGTTAGTAGAAAATCGTAAAGTTTCTCTTTCATTATTAATAAAACTGTTATTTGGAATCAAACTGTGCTAACACTGTCTACGAACCGACCTGAAGGTACGACCCGGACTGAAAGATGAAACGGCTTTTATTAGAAGTTTCAATACGAAATAAAATGCTTGGTAAACCAGTAAATATTGGGGAATTTTAAAAAGTTTGCTTTTAAACATATTTGGAATTACATTTTTCAGCTGAAACATGTATATTTTCAGTTTTTATGTGACTCTTCTAAACTAAAGACGTAATTTAAGTGCATCGTAAATATCGTACTACAAATAAAAGAGCACCATCATGTATCATCACTTATTTACAATTCTAAGAGTTTTGTACATTCGGGGCACATCATAAAACGTGTTCTAAACGTATAATGTAATGTCTTCAATAAAACTTCACTGTCATGTTTTACACAAAATGAGCTTCAAGACGTTAACTTTTAGAATTACCTACATTTACAAGGTGATTGGTCTTAAATAGTTTCCCAATAGCTTTTGCTTGAAAATGTTAATGAAAATAAAATTAAATTCACCATCGCATTCTTGGAAGAATAAATCAAAAAATGTTCACGGACTAAATAAATAAACTGGACTGCAATAAACAAATGTATACGTATTAGAAGCTATTTGGATCTTGATCATCATAAAAAAGACTGTAAAAGCTTTTGAAAAAACACCACTTTCAATAAATAGTTATTTATTTGTTATTACAAGGAATGGAATGGAAGGAATTGAATGTGTCTATATATAAACGTTTGAGCTTTTATATTCATTGTCAAAATTATTATTGTCCAAAGACTTTTGTGAAAATATTAAGTTCCATCGGCAAGGATAATCATACAAACTAATGTTATCGTCAACTAACGGGCTGTATGTTGCTATGGTGGTAAGACTTCCTTGCAAAATGTTATTTTTATTGATTCAGATTCAAAAATAATTACTTATCAACTATTCATCTATTAAATATTTATTTGAATACTAGTATTACCTAGAGAAAATTTATTTTAACAGCTTGTAAATTACAATGCATGACAGAATCAGAAAGTTATGCTTATTACAGAAACATAATCATAATATATATTTGTAGTACTTACTTTAAAAACTTTTATTATTCTAAAAATCTATTCGTAATTCTAATTCGTATTTACATATACAATTGTATTTATCAGGGTCTAAAGAATATAGAAAAATAAAAAAGCATCGATTTTTAAATTATGTTATTTCACTACACATAACTTTCTTTTACGTAATATATACAGGGTGAATCAATGTGATGTTGGAAGATTTATGTTGAATGTATATTTTTGTTTTGTTTTTCATATTGCCAAATGCACATGCATAGTATTCTCCAACATTAATTTAGAAACATACATACAGTTTCTCTCAATTTTTAATTACCTCTCAAAGGTATCGTTAAGGATGTACACCAGGAACACGTGACCAGGATAAATTGCTCGTAATTCCTAATAAATACATGTCCACACCCCTCCAACTTTTTGTTTTTTCTTCATTTTTAACATTTGATGTTATTGTTCAATTGAATTTCAAATAATTTTGATAAAACGATTTTAAAATATCTATGTTACCAAGCTTTTTGAACCTGCCTATGTTGAATTTAGCCTCTAACAAAGCCACATTGCAGATAAATTCCACAAAAAATTAATTTCCCCAAAATAAACAAAAGAATGAAATTTTTTAATAACTTTTACTTTATTTGAATAACATTTTTTCCATTGCATCGAACCAATTTTTCTCTTGGCGTTATAAAAATTATTATTTCCATGAAAAACACTTTCCTTTCGTAGCACTTTTTTGCTTTATAACTCCGGAATCGGTAAATAAACATTCAAAGTAATTACGCTGTTATCAACACATTCTCTTTGAAAAAAAAAGTGAAACATACGCGTCTGAAAAATTCGTATTTACCGTTAACTCGATGTTTTTGGCAAGCGTGGATTCGGCAATGTTGGCAAACGGCTTATCAGCCCCCCAGCATTCCACATACTTCGTCATTTTGCTGGACGGTCTGGACCTCGTCGGTGGTCCGCTTGGAGTTGCCATTCCGTAGATTCCACCCTCTGTGCCTATGCTGTTGTGTCTTTCAGCGATTGTCGCCAAAGGAGTTCTGACATTTCCGTTTTGCGTTTCAGTTTCAGGTTTCTGAAAAATCAGGACAGAGTTTTATTATTTAAAGAGTTGCTGATCGACGCTGTGTCAACATTTATTCGAGCCGATTCGTGTTTGCATCGTCAACATTCGAGGGGTCGTAATCTCGGTAACTAAGACAGTGATACGACAGTCGGATATCAGGGCCAAATTTAAACTTTTAAGACAGAATAACATCTCTCGATCATTAGACCTAACAATAACATTCCGTGGGGAAGCGAGAGAAAATACACGGGTTAGTTATCCATTAAACGAAAAATATTTGGTTTATTCCTTATTCACTCTTCGCCCTAATGGAAAGATTCCAAGAAGCAGGTACACATTTCGGGATAAATAAAATACGGTCTTGAAATCCTAAAATAGGTTGAATGATATTGCGAAAGGAAGTGCAAATGGAAAGTGTCACTAAGATTAATAGCACCTCAGCAAAACATAATTGAAACTATCGACTAGCTGATGCTAGCTTGCGTGCCTCTGATGGGTGTCTGTTGAAAACCATTCTCGGATATTTTTCTTCTAAATGGAGATTTAAAAGAAAATCCATTTATTTCATATAAATGCTTTTAAAATATTTCAAGACAAAATGCAGGGGCAATGTAATGGGAGTGAATGTAATTTTCGGATTTAAATTGTTCGTTCATACAATGGGCTTATAATTTTGTCGACCGTCTAACAAATTATTACTCAAAAGACATTATTTTCAAGTAAATAATGCAATTTCCCACAACGAGTCGACGTATTGCGGTTTTACACTGAAATCTTCATGAATATCTTATTATTGAATTTTAAAATCTTTAAAATAATACTCTTATAAAGTGTGTATTTTTAATGTAGGTAAACAGGAAAATATAATATAGTAAATTAAATAAGTTTTTAGTTACATCATTTCGCTATCAGTACCTGGCTCTACATTTTATTTTTACCTAGTGTTTAAAGAAAAAAATATCTCAAACATATTTCGCAAAAAAAGTTATCTAAAACTGATTTCGTAGATGTATACCACACTATACTTGTTGTTTAAAATCTGATATATCTGTAATTCATTACTTTGAGAAAACTAGTAGGTAGGTACTCGTAGTTTGTTATATTTTTAACTTAATTTGGACCGTAGAGGGAACATTTTTGGAGTCGTGCCAAACACCTGTTGCTTCTGAATCATTTTTCTTGAGTGATTTCTTAAAATAGCTTAACATAATAACAGCTCTTTCAGTAACCCAGTTTTTAAAATTTCTGAAAAAATATACTGTTAAAATTTCAAAATTATTTGAGAGCAATTCCATTCGAGTGAATCACTTATTGAAGAAATCCTATAAAAGTAAGTACATAAAGCGCCGCTTTCCTAATGGACACAACACGATACCAAATCTCCAGCAAATCCTCGATAAATTTTGATAAACCGACTCGAGCTTGAACATAATAAAGTCGTTTCGACGCACCGAAGTAAGCGATTAATCTCCATCTGGCGATATATTTCCCAGTTTATGGGAAAGAAATACGTGCGCCATCGCACTAACCTCTTCAATTATTAAGGATAATTGCAAGAAGAAGATTTAATCGTCTCGGATTCAGACGGTGAATTAAAGTCAAACCACAGCCAATTCCGAAACTAACCCAACGTCTTCAGTGTTTCGTATTACGCCAATTGACGCAATAATATCAATTCGAAAACTTGATACGATATTGTGCTTGCTCTACATTACCTTCGGAGGAACAATGAGGAAAGTTTCAATTTTATGATCAGCGAGGTAAGACTCCCGATTCATACCATCTCCCGGCTCCACTTCGAATCTATCCCCAAGCTGGTGTAAGGTGGCTCGTGTTATGTGAACCCTCCTGAAAACAGACAAATGCATCAGAACCCAGACTGTAAAGCTATTCCCGTCGCTAAAAAACCTCCAATTTTTCCAATCTAATTAGCTCTCTCTAATTAAGTCGGTGATGGTCAATTATCACCAATTCACTCATAATTGGCACAATTAATATTGCACAGATAGGGCCTTAAAGTGCCGATTAAATCGAAGGAAATAATTACCTCACGTTTCAAATGAATCGATTTTTTAAGTGCTTATGAATTTAATTCACTCCTTTCTTTTTGGTCCAATCAACGACTATTCACGGTGCTTAGGTGTAAATGGTGTTCGTTATCATGATGGATATAGCGACTATTGTTGCTTTAGACCAATCAACGCCAGAAAGAATTTTTACGAGTAAAAGACGGGTATTTGGGACAATAGGATTAAAAATTTCAATTTCAATTTACTCGAGGTTTTGAAGAAAAAACAACGAAGGAACAAAATAAAATTTTAATCAAATGTCTTAAAATAAATACTTTGCTTTGAAGGATTTTAAAAAGAGAAAGTAACTGTTCGGCAGAAGTTTTATTAGGCTAATTTTTATTTGTAAAGTAAATATCTGACTTTTTGATTTTTACAAACTCAGTAATTAATATTTTTAATTTCGATTATTTAACTTGAATAACTACTATACCGGGTGTCCGGTCTCAAATCCCATTTACTTTTGCTGATTCCTGCTCCCCAGTGCAACATACAAGTAAGGTTGGTACCTGTCGAAATGATTACAAAAATAAGATTAAAAATGGTATTTTTATTTTAAAATACAATTTTCAAATTTATCAATGCATGCGGTATTAGAACGATACTTGTCAAAAACGTTAAAGTTTTTATTACAAATTTATTAAAAGACGATAAAGAAATTGTTTATCTACGAGTGAAAAGGTCAAGTTTACGAGTGACAAGGTCACGAATGGACTTTTTTCAGGAGACACACTTTAGATTCGTATCAAGAACCAGTTTATCCACTGGTGGAATAAAGTAACTTTATTCCACTGTTAGTAACCAGCGCACCGCGTAACAGCTTACTACGTTTAACCGAAAGCACATTTGGCGTGACGTTTAAATGTCAGTTTAATTTTTAATTAAGTTTGGAATAATTTGGGCCTGTGATTGTGGATAAAACGTTATATTGCAGTCGTGTGTTAGTCGCGAACTGACGTTCTCGCGGTTAAACATTCTTGCGTGGATAAAACGTTATCTAACACACTCTTACAATAAATAACTATTATCGTCGTGTATAATATTTGGTTTTATTTTGTACTCACCTTCCAGAATTTCTTGAAATATAAGCAGTAGATAAAAATTACTTTATTTCACTAGACGATAAAAGACTATTTTATCTACTGAAATTAATTGATAAAAGCACTCTTTAACATTGAGTACAAAATAAAATAAATAATTACTCTAATGAAAAAAAAGTTTTCATGGTCAAAACGTTTTATAGATTTAGCACCTTGCGATTTTTTCGTGTGGGGCTACCAGCAAAATTTATAAAAAACGTCACCCAGATTATTTTTACAACAGACTGGGATACTGCTTGGTTCAAAATGGGAGGTTATTTGAATATTTATTATAATTTGATTTTTATTACTTTTCGTTATGTGAAAAAGAGGCACAACATCATACATCGAGCAAACTGCAGACCGGTTTCGCCCTTTTGGGGCTCATCAGTGCAGTGTAGCTCGATGTGTGATGTGGCCTCGGGAGTCTTAAAGCGACTACGCCGGTGAAGATGAGACACACCGACAGGTGGCGCTCTGCGCTACCACTGTCTCATCTTCACTTTTCGTTATGTTTAATAAAAAGCAATTAAATTGTTAATTACTTAGACAACTGTTTATTTTATTATGAAAGGAATTAACAAAATACATAAAAATCGCAATCAACCCTATGTTCGAGTTTGAGACCGGACACCCGGTATAAATAATGTTTCATTACTGCTCGCTTAAAATTAACCACATTAGAGAACCATTAAACATGTACGTTCTAAATTAATTTAAACGTTTAATTTGGCTAATATGCCAGTATTCCACTGTATCAATACCTGGCATAATAACATACAAAGCTTCTAAAGCCTGGCAAACATCCAACTTCAGCAACTATTGACAAAACGAACAGAGTTCACAGATCTCGATATTTCTATAAATTTTTTCCTATTAACTGGTAAAGCAAATTTTTGAGTGCCCTTATGAAATTAATTACCGATTAAAAACTCCAGTCCCCAGCTAATGCAGCGTCCATTACCTGTAGTGACCTTTTTAATAAACTGCCCTAATTTCCGATGTCAAAGCAACAACACCGATTCAATCAACTGCACCAATGCCACCAGCGGAAGTCTATTTCGATTCTAAAGTTCTTTTTTTAATTACTGTACGATATTACACACAAGTATGAGCGAGTTGTCAACACCTGTCTCTCCCCAGGTTTATTTCGATTGCAGTCTCAATTGGTTTTACTATTTATTTGCACAAGGAGGTGTTTATAAACAAATAGTACGTGAAATTGCAAGTTGAAGGAGCACAACTCACTTCAATTTAAAAGCAATTGCGCTTTCTGCAGACTTACCCAGCTATACCCCCGGATTCCATGTGATTGGCAAGCGTAACATCGTCGCTCCAAACGTCAAATTGCCATTTTCGTAATCCCAAAACACCACAAAGCACATTTCCGGTGTGAATGCCGATCCTCATATCCACGTTGAATCCAGTGGCTTCACGAACAAATCTTCAAAGGAGAAAATCAAACAGATTTGTGAAATATAACAAAAGAAATGATCAATGTATATGGTGCACAGAGTGTTCATCCTTTTTGATATTCTCTAGTTATATTTTCGTTAAAAAATATTTGTATGTTGTTGGTATCGAGACCTGAGTGCAGACAAAACAAATGTGGAATAAAGATTGTACAAAACTTTAATTTAATTCTGAAAAAAATTAATTCACCCCAATTATTATATTAAACTTCTCCATCAACTAGTAAAAAAAATATATAAACCAAGGTACTAGACAATAAAAAAATTACTGCCTACGTTATTTCCATAATTTAATATACATGGAAGAATTATGAGAAGGGGTTTGCCTGTGCTAAATATTACAAAGATAAATTGTTGTGCTAAAACATAATTCTTCAATTTAGAAACTTTTTGGTGTGTGTTTAAAAATGTTGGCAAAGTTATGTAATATCCCTATGATGGGGATAGCAATAATTACTGTTAATATTTACTTTTTCAACGAATCTGAATACAAACACTATGCAATAAACTGCAAAAGCATATAATAAACGCTGCCGCATATCAATTAGAATAAATTAGTAATTTATGAACTGCATAATATTTTCCTATTTAGTTTAAATAATTCAGCCTTTTATTAACGGAATTAAAAGCAGACAGACATTTAACAATTGGACTATTAGTGAAATGCCACACCATAGCGATAAATTATTCCATAGGGTCATGGTTTATCGATGCATTTTACGAACAAACAGTCTACAACACCATATAAATAAATCCAATGTTGACAGTCTTACCGGATGGCTTCGATCATTTGCAAGCCCATGTTGACACAATTGTAGGCGTGGTTGGGACGCGACACCGGCAATCCTGACACACAATAATAGCAATCTCCAAGGATCTTGATCCTCATGCATTGGTTGTCCTGAAAAGTCACTCTGACAATGTCAAAAATGTAAAATCGTCAAAATTTTTAGTGAAGTTTAATGGCATTAAGCACCCTCGAGTTAATTTTGTTGACTTTCGGGATTTGTGCTGGCATACATTTTGTGGCTTTTTTAGTCCAACCGATTTCAAACGACACCAATGTCGATTGCAGAGAGATCATGAACGGGATCGTCAGGAGCAAGTTCTACCACGACAATGCTATTCCAAGGACTAGTCAATCCCCGTATTTTCATTGAAAAGGATGAAATGTAAATTTTCATAATGAGCAAAATAAACATTGGATTTTAATCGTTTATTGGTGTACAATGTTTGGATAGAACTGCGGGGCAGGCGAAATTAATTAGATCCATTTTCTCGGGTACAATTTTAAGCCAAATCCAATAATAATTAAAGAGAGCGGCTATTGTTCAACAGTTTGGGAGCTATTTCCAAATTTCATTACAAGGGTCCAGATAAAAAAGTTTGGTAAAGAAGATACATGCACCGATCAATCAATTTCTGATGGGAGTTGTTGTCCTTGTTGGGCTCACTTTCAGTAAAGCTTTTGGAAAAATTAAATTTCCAATAATCAAAACGCCCACGTTACCCACTGGTAATAATGAAAATTAACGATAGATATTCTCACTTTATGATATTAATAACGATGTTATTAGATGCACCCATGAAGGTTGTTAGTCTTTTTATTGCATGTTTCGGCGTAATTCAATTTTTATAACTTCATCATAGGAAGTAATCTTAATAAATTCGAGACCAGGAAAAATCTCCCGAGATGATAGTCGTTTAAATTGTATTACATTATTACAAGAACAGATAAAAAGTGAGGATGTGGCGAATACATTCTGCCTTTTTTTAAACAAAAAAGCAAAAGATGAATATTGAGATTGTCGTCTTGGCGAAAAGATGGTTCCTCCCTGGGTCCGTTCTCATTTATTCAAAAAGATCAAAGAGAAAATGTAATGTAGGAAACAAAGTAAAATTAAGTGTTCTTTGCAGCCTTTCTCTTGATCTGATCTAATCTAACTAATGTTATTTAAAGAAAGCTTTAACTATATTAAAAACACGAGCAAGTACGTTTTGAATAAAGTTACAAAAGCGTTTTATTAAGACGCGAATTAAATTAGAGTTTAAATCTGCTTTTTTCTACTTTTAATTGTTTACACAATTTAGCTTATTAAATACTGCTTAGTGTTCGAGTTACGTAGACATTTTCTCGCATAAAACTTATAGAGCATCTCGAAGTGTCTCATTTCAGCGAAAGATGAAGCAACAATTAGCTTTTGTTCTATAATACTTCGGTAGCGTCAAAACAATCTACTTGTACTTTACGAATACGAAGTTTAAATTTAAGTCTTTTGAGTACGGTTCATACCCTCCGTAATAATCTTATTCTCAGAATGTTGTTTATTTATTTTTGCGGCTCCACGACTCCGAAAAAATTTTAAGTAAACAAGGTGACCCTAGAATAAACATTTTGCAAGGATACCAAGGCTCGTAAAAGTACTGAGTAAATAGAGTTAGTCCTGTTTGCCTTTATAATTCGACTGAAGCTAGCCACGCACATTATCCAGCGAATGCCCCAGCGACTTCGTCAAAGTAATTTGCATACAAACATACACGCCAAAGCATGTAAACAGTTTTCACAGAAAATTCAATCGTGATGTCGGCTATTGTTCCCTTTAATGGGAAAACTTTCAGCGGAGACATGTCTGTACTCCAGACTTTTAAAGAAAACACAACGTTTAATAAAGTCAAGGGAGGTGTAAGATGAAATTGAGACAATGCAGGAAGTTGTGTACCTGCGCTATTTGGTCGAAACGGCCGAATAGTTCGTTGAGGGTCTTGACGAGGTCGGAAGCCGATAATTGTTCGGACAATGGCGTGAAATTGACGATGTCTGCATACAAGATTGATACATTATTGTGACGCTGAACGTACATCTCGTGGAAACTTCGGTTCGAGTGCTCATTGCAGGCGTCTGCCATCTTCAACATAATGCTGCGCTTCACCTGAAAGTTATTGTAAAGTTTGCGTCTATTGTCCGAAAGCGTCGGGTGGTGCAAAAAAGATTAAAGCTACAAATTAACAATTTCACTAGTAGTAAAACAAAGATTGGACAATTAATTTTATTACAAAGGCAACAAACACTAAAGTTTAATTATAAGAATTATAAATGTGTTATTGCTGTCCGACTATGAATCATTTTACAATAGACTACGCTTAGAACAAAGCGCGTTTATTAGTATTTTACTAGCGAGGCGGTTTATTTCAGAGCGGAAATTAGCTGTGCTTCCAATTTTGTTTATTGTAGGTAGGTAACAGAAGGAGACTTTGATTACAAAATTTACAAAACAATGTTAAAGAAAGTAAATTTGTGCTAACAAATTCGAATTTATGTTTAAAAATATATAAAGAATGTTTTTCTCGCTCAATATCTAACACTAACGATGGCGCACCCAGAAAGACATGTTGAAAGTGAGAGCAAAAAGTTTAATATAAAAACCGTTTACCATCAGTTCAATTCTAAATTCATAAAATGTACCTATTAATTATATATTTTTAACTAAAAAGTGATTAAGAAAAATCAAATCAAATATTCATAGAAATCAAGATATATGTTATATGCAAGATGCCAAAATGAAATATTATTTCATATATTACACGTAAATAGATTTTCCATATTATAATAAAGCAAACTCGTCAAGTATCATTTAAATTTAATTTAGTGGTACTTTTCTTCAGATTTATTAAATTGTTAATTGCATATTGACATGATTGTAACTATAATTTTGTTTTGTATTTAATTACTATCAGACATAATTATTAGCACATAATAATATAGTGTAAAAAAAAGATTTCCAAGATTTCGAATTATTGTCAACTGAAACAAATTTTTTAAGTAGAGCCAAATGTAATCATAATACTGTAATTGAATTAAAATTACGTTTAAAGATTGATGATTTATTAACAATAGTAGTTTGAGATTAAATCGATGGTTATTTTTATTTGATAAATATAATTACCTGGCAGGAGTCACTATTTTCTAGAATAAAAAAAATACGAATAAATGAATAATACAAACCCGTACATACTCATAAACGAATTGTGAAAAATAGATTATGTTATTTAAATATTTGACATTTGTGAATACTAAATTAAAGTGTACTGATATGTATTCCTAAGCGTATTTCAACCGAGGTAATAAAGTACATATTTCAAAGAATTAAATTTAAAAAATTCATGCAATGTGTGTTCCGCCTTTCCATCTCTAGCCGCCGTATCACAAGTCATGAAAAAGCTGAAACATCGCGTAAGCTTGGCGTTTAATGTTTAATAAATGAAAGCAAGCGTCTTCGCAACCACTTCATTCAAAAATAACAAATTAAAAACGCCTGAATTCATTCTTTTAATCCTTCTTTTTCATCGCAAGCAGAAAAAATTCTTCAATTATTCCATTTATTTTAGCAACCAGCCTATCTTGCGACCTCTCAAAAAGGTTCAAATGCTATTTTAATTGCGCGGCGACCGCAATTAAACTCTGACAGCACTAATTCTGTGTTAGTTTAGGGAAATTAATTATTTCGCTAGGAACACTTTTTACATCTTTTTTTTTCACTGACCTCCGCCGCAATATACGCTGGGATAACACTCAACAAAAGCTGCTCCTGCTGCTCCTTCTCGCATTCCAGCTTCACTCGGGACTCGATACACGTCCTCGTCCCGACAAAAGTCCTCCTGTGGGCCCCCTCGGTCATGTGTCGGTAGTAGAGACCGGTGCAGCTCGCTGCCACCAGCAGCACACCTTCGGGAATCAACTGGAACGAACCGCCTCTTGAGCCCACTATTTTTACACATAAGCGAAGGTGGAAATCCACTCACCTGGAGGTAATAAGGATGTTTGTCGTCATTCACTCTATCAATGATCGACAAGGCCATGTAGGCTAGGGTGACGATCGAGGCAAGGGCGAGGGCCACTGCCCTAGATAGGGGAAGCATGGTGTGGATGGCTAGCAAAAGGGCGGAAAGAGGGAGGGGTGCGTGTCTTTGACCCAGCAGGAGCATGGAGGTTGTGACGATGGTTGTGATAAAGAGTGATGACACCAGAGCCCAGGTTTCTGATTCAAGGATAAACGGGAATTGAGATGCAAATAAGATGCAGAAAAGGCAGAATGTGAGGACTGACATGGTGACGATGGGCAGTAGGCTGCTCTCCAAGTCCTGCAATTGACAATAACCATATCAGAAAATCTTTTTTTATTATTATTTGTCCAACAAATAGCAGTGAGTAATAATTTAGGTATAATTTTTTTTGCAACACTAGTAATGCGTTTAAGCTTATCTCTAATGGTTTAAACTCTCTATAAAACTCTAGTTATCTTAATGGCTATTATCATTTCTTATTAACGTATACCATTATTAAAAATTATATGCATACGATATAAAGAAATAAAAGCTTAAAGTCTATTGCTCGATAAAAATTAAAGGAAATACTGTTCTTTGTACATTTTCACTATTTTGTTTATAAACTAAGTACATTTATGTACATAAATTATATCCCAGTCTCCAAATTTATAATCGAGTAAAAGAGAATAAAAAATGTATGATTCCGTATACCATACGTTCAGATGAATTTCTGATCAAAATGGCCTGTTATCAACATATTTAGGTAATTTTATTAGGGTGTGTTAATGAATTAACCATGTACCTACTATATTATTTGTGAAAATAAAGCCGTAGGAGAACATTAAAATTCATCGGTTTAAACAAAATTTTCGAATTAGTTAATTAAATTTGAATATATTTTCCATTCATCCAAAAAATTGCAATAAAGAAACTGCTTCACAAAACTAAAAAAGTTTTCGACATTTCTTAACAAATTTAAAATCCTACGGAGTCGTAACAGAAAAGGTAAATTTCTTTTATTTCTTTTCGCCTGTTCGGTGCTACGATGAAAGAACTTCTCCTCCTTGACAGAAATTTTGTTCAACTTCAATAATGTCAACTTAAATTTAATAGGAGAAAATAGAATTTCCAACATTTCATGAAAACATGTGCGGTTTTGAAATTGTAGCTACCTATTTTAATGCCGTACAAATAATTAGGTAAATTAACTGAATACCTACTAAAATAATGAAATGCTACAAAATTTAAATTTTAATGTAATTGAATCCAGCACCATTATATGTTACTATAATATTTCACAGAAAACATCTTCGGATACTGCGAAAAATAAACATAAACATTTCGTAATGGATTTATTGTATGTTTTTTTTTTTTTAAATACGAGAACATAAATTTTCATGTGCATCAAAAATTATTTTTTTTATCGCAACAACACTGATATTGTAATAGTATTTATAAAAGACGTTTAGTTTTCTTTCTTTAAGTATTGATCTTCATTCGAAGCTTCTTTCAAAACTCATTTATCTTGTTATATAAAGACACGACCAAGATTCATGAAAAAGCCATGTTTTTAAGTCAAGGCACTGCAAATCTAATACATTCATAAATGTAAATTCTTAATAAAACAAGACAAGTCCAAAGCACAAGTTTAAATCATCTTGAGCTAGACGAACAACAATCTAATGGCCAAGATCATTTAATCAAGTCTTAATTTCAGCAAGGTGTTGCGACCCTATCATATAATTTAATTAATGTTTCATCTGTGCGCGAGAATTGTTTGAATAAATTTGCATTCTTAGAGGCAAAACATCACTCCACTTTCTTCGTAAAGCTATTGCTAAAGACCTCTGCAAAATAAGACGGTTTTTTGCAATTAAACGCTTACAGTTCAAACTTTCCACAAGTTCGTTTATTGGCCAGTGGAAGTTTTCCTTGACAGCAACAGTTGCTCTTGTAGAACGTGTGTTCTAAAGGTCCAACTTCTGCGTTAGTCATATCACTTTTACCGTACTACGGGTGTACGCACATTAGAATTAATGTTTCAAATTTATCCTAAGGCAAACAAGAGATTACGCGTTAATAAAGTAAGTTTGAAGCGAACAAACTGGTAAACGACCTAACGAAATAATCCCGAAGCTCATCATTACGACATTCCTATTTACCTGTGCTCATAACTGTGTGGACTTATTCGATAATTAAATTGCTTCTACGCATTGTAGAGATATTGGACTAGCTTAGATTATGCCTTTACTATCATTATGTTCACATAAGGAGTTTAAAGTATTGGATTAAGGATTAAAAGATCGGAATTGTTCTCAATGGAGTGTAATTGATGGGTTCCGGGACCAGATCAACAATCTAACTTGATCAAAACTGCGAACTCAAGAGAACGAGTTACGAAGTCAGGTTTAGGTAAGCGGAAGTCATGTTGTTACTTAGAATACGGGGTACACATTCTAATCCCTTAAGTCTTCAACGGAAACTTTCCACATTAATTAACTGATAACACTAATAAGAGAATGCCGGAGAAGAGATTGTTTACGTTCTTTAATTGTAATTAAGGCATTTGTTGTGCAGGATACCTCACGTCTAAAGCCCAGCAATATCTCAAGTAATACTTTTAGTATTTAACTTCATTAAACTGTGTTGCCTTCTTCTAGAAGAGAAATTCAAAAAATCGTAAAAACACACAAATATAGTAGTGTCTCTTCAAATTTAAACTGTATTTATTTTTAAGTGCTGATAAGATATATGGTTTGTCATCTTAAATACTCCTATAATTTTTTCAGATCCCACTACAACACAATGTTTGCCTTAAGTTAGAAAAGCCATTTAGACCTCTGTTAAATTATGAAGGGTAATTTCGAGCAGGACCTTTATATATTGCTAAAGACATAACTGCCCAAGGGTTTGACACAACAAATTTTCCTACGAAGAGAACTCTCAAGTGGCTCATAAAAGCCATTAGGGCAAATCCGTTGTAAGATTTGTTGAACCTGGTGGCACTTTCCTCATTTTACCCGCTTTTATTTTGGCTCCAAAATGTTGCTTCAAGGAAACCTAAAGGACACATTTCTTTTCTTCCACTTTGTCATTGTGTTTACACAAGCAGCTTGTCACTCGAATGCCAAATAAAAAACGTTCGATGCGAAAATTGAGTTCGAACATCCTACAATATTTTAGAGTCGTGTATCGAATCAATACCACATTTCCAAGTTGGACAATGGTTCTGGTCGAGTTCATCCAGATAACATTGCCAGTTTACCTCAATTCATTTCTAACAGACTTTTTGCTCTTTGTAAGCTCACCTGGAGAACACATGTGGTAATGAGCAGCCCCGCGCTGGTGACGACTGCCACCGTCAAGCACGACAAGAAGAGGGCGTGTTTGAGACGGATACAATATCTTTGGTAGAGTGTTTCCAGTTCCATTCCGTCAACTGCAACAAAAGATTAATTAACTTCTTTAAGCCACACAAAAAGAGCCGAAAATTCTAATTAATTTCGGACGTTTTCATGATTTGTTCACGCACTGTGGAGCATCAATAAGCCAGAGAAATTTTTCCGGACTTGAAAAGTTTTGTCGTAAATGGCTTTGAGCAAATCTTGAATAAAAGGCTCGTTTAGCCACATGTTAAGTGTTGGAAACGCCGAATTAAATTCGAGAAAGAGAAGTGATCATATGTTTTCACAATTGTTATTACTTGAATATGAAAGGAAAAGTTTCTTTAAAATGGTTTTTGTTGTGTCCAAAACAATTCATCTAAATTCACTTTGTTTATTTTATACTAGAATAAACAACTTCAAATAGAATAAATTCGGTTGGGGATAAATGACTTGAACAGTGTTTCTCTCCGAAGATGCCTCTGGGAATATGTCGAATTGGGTACGAAAGAGTGCAAGAAATCTGCCATATGCTCGCTAAATTATCATTTTTCTTCAATAATAACATTTCTTGTTTAAACTTTTCTGTTATCCAAAGATTTACTTCAGGCAACAAAGAAAAATCATAAATGAGAAGTAAAGTAAAACTAATTTAACTTTTTATTCATTTATACTCGTACATACATTGCTTTATGTGTTAACCTAAAACAAAAGCTTTTCTTAATTAAAATAGGATGTAAAGAAATGTGGAAACAAATGGAGTTATGCTATTTTGTTTTAAATTTATTTAATATAAATTTGTTTCTCTCTAAATTAAAATACATTAAATTTATTATTCCGAGGCTACAGCTGAAATAAAAAATGCTTAAAACTTTGTCATTTGTTTTTGCCATTCTTACACCTACTCACATACAGGCTGTTTTAGAACTCGCACCCAGGAGAAAAGGTGATACCAGGAACATGAAAAAAATCTTTAAAAAATTCTATCTGGAGTTATGGGAGTTTAAATTTTGCATTTAGACTATTTATTTCTGTTGGAAAAATATTTTTTTTATGTTTTTGCTGCAGACTATTAGAAGAGAATACAAGGAAGCTGTATTATCGTAAATGTAACTATACACTGTGTCAATTTTAAAACTTGCAATCGGCAATTTCTCTCAACTGAAAAAGTTATTAATAATCACTCAAAACCGTTTTGGTGGTTCCTAGGGGGAATTAAAATGACATGATAAGTGACACACCTCCACCCACCCTTGATATAGTAAAAAAAATGAAAATTTAAGGTCTTCGTTTTTGAATAATTGGAAAAATAACTTTACCAAATAGGCTGTTGTATGACATTTTTGAAAAGCACTTATTATGGGCTTTCCAACGATGTATCGCAAGTAGGGTCGTGCCATTTAAAATTTTCAACTTAAGGTGGCTGTGGCTTGAAGGGTGGGTGGAGGAGCGTCACTTACCATGCCATTTTGATTCCCCCTAAAAACTACCGAAACGGTTTTGAGTGATTCTCAATAACTTTTTAAGTTCTAGAGATATTGGCGACTGCAAGTTTTAAAATTGACACCCTGTATGTTTAATTATTTGGCTTTTTGGGATTGCTCAAGTTTATTCTAAATTAATATTATATCTGTTGTCACTTTTATTTATTAACTTATCATTATCAATTATTTTATTTACACTTATTGTACAAAATATACATGTGCAGAATATTTAAAAAAACCTGAAATATTAACAAAAAGAGTGTTTGAAAATACAATATGATAAAATCTTCCCAATGATATGATAATTATGACAAACGATTTTTTTTCTGTATAGCATTTTTTTGCATTTTTCGCCCCTTTACTTACACACCGCGTTCAATTTGTAAGGTGGCAAAACGATGAAAGCAAAGATATCAATGAAAATGATTTACATTAAATGTTGAACTTGAAATTTCTTGGATACTTGAAAAGTATTACAACTCACTAATAAATAATAACACTGATCTTGACCCACCGTAACTATCTTCGATAGTTTTTTCCTTATCAATAAACGAAAATAGTAGTAAATATCAATATAGACATAAGCGGGTGTAGGTTTTCCTTAAATGATATTTATTTAATTGTCATTGTAAGATACTACAGTGAATCCCAATAATGTGATATAAGAAAAAATTTTTGCTATCAATGAATGAATATGATTTTCATCTCTTTTTAAAGTACTTCTTTGTTTGATTTCTGAAGTTGTTGCGTGTTTTCCCTTGGAAAATGTCGTTTGTTCAGTGTCTCTAACAAAAATATTTCCGTCGCTCCCATTTTCATTTAGCGCTGGTTTCAGTTGCAATAAATGCGTCGTTTTAATGCGCCTCCGAACAAAAATAGCCGCAAAGCATAAATTTGATTAAAAATTTTCATGGTGCTTTTCCGGCATTTACTGCACCTTTTCCACGCGCAAACAAACTTATTTATTTGATCGTGGGTTGTTAGAAGACACGACTAATACGCAGTTATTTTCGCTAAAGTCCCCGAGATCCGCAGATTATGTCGAGCATCCCGTAATCCGGTGTGAAGTCTCCATAATAGACTATCGGGCAATTACGATGTCGGAGATATGACAGGTGGCGCCGTCTCTCGGGGGTGTCACTCAAACCGCACCTCAGATTCACGCCTCGACGGCCGCCGCTGTAATAACCGATGTATTTGTATTTATTAGCCACAAACAGGACTGGTGGTTTATGACAGATACAACAAATTCATTATGTTATCCCATGTCGCCATTCCATATTTTACGTCATGTTACATGAATGTAACGTCGCGTGAACGCCTCATGGATCAGATATGGTTGAAAAAAAGGAATCTGAAATGGAATGAATGGGCAAATTTCATTTCGGGTTGCTTTTCGTCACAACTAGGACATAACTAATTGATTAAATGCAACGAGTTGATGCATTGATTAATTTAACACAGGTTTTCAATTTTGTAAAGTTTCAAACAGACACGACAATTTATTCACTTATTTTGAAAAATTTAGTATGAACACCAATTCAATTACACTAACATAACAGTAAATAAATAATTGTGACATATTTCATTAAAGCTAGCATATACAAACAGGATATTACTACCGGTATTTACAGTTCAAATAGTTTTGCAATTCTGTAATTAAATATCAAAAAATCCCATATATTTTTTTTGGTAAGCTCAAGATTTTTTTCTCAATTCCAGGAATCGAAAACTTAGGTTTAGAGAAGCTTATCTGGGATAATCCTACGTGTCACAAGCATAAGCGCGTTTCTTCTAATTTCTTTTTCACCTTTTTGTCATTAAATCGTTTCTCTTTATGTCCACTTCAATTGATTCAAATATATTGATTTTTTTGGACTTGGAAACTTCTAACGCAAGTTTTAATTAGATGGACGAACGTGTTAATTATAATTTAATGTAAGCTCTAATGTGAGTTGGCTAATTTTTGGTCAACAAACTTTAGTCCAACAAAGTAATGTAACAGTTTCAGTTTAGAAGTTTGGAACAATGCATTTGCTTTATGATCTGTGTCAGTGCATTGAATGCAGTCCGATTTTATAGGAAAATGTGAAGAAGGATCTAACTTAAAAAAGCCTTGAATTGTAATAAACCTCGACAAACAATAAGAAAACTTACAAGTTTTTTTTTATAATCATTTAAAACGAAAATTAAAAACCATTTGAGTTGTAATCTAAAAGAAGAGATAATAAAAATGAATGAATAACCTCTTTTGCGACTTTCATTTATACAAAGTAAATAAAATTTTAGAGCACCATTAACTAAAAGTTCTTTTAACAGTTTCATTAAAGAACAAGTTTTTCAAAATAAGTTCCCCTTAAAAGAGAATCTTTTATTTACTACACAAACTTATGTTTTAATGAAACACCATATATATTCACTGGCATTTCTGGATAAGTTTAACATTTTATTACAATGTTTTTAAGCTAAACTATTATTGGTCGATTTTGCTTAGATTATGAAATAAGATGAAATGTTATGCTACAGTAACTTTTATTTCTTCTAATTTCTATAATCCATTTATAGTATGTACAAGCAAAATTCATAAATTCTCGTTAAAATTGTCAAACAGTGTGAAACTAAAAAAGAAAAAATTGAAAATTCAAACAGCTTGTGCATGTTTGTAAGTTTATCTAAAAAACTCAAAACATTTTAAATTCAAAAATGTAATCGTTAGGTGTTTTAATTAAATTCATATACAGCATGTTCCGTTTTTATCGTTTCAAATTTAAACAGGTGATAGAATATTCAATTTTAGAACAAATGTTTCCTATAAACATGTATCAAAAAATGTAGGTAAGCGAGCTACACCCCCTGAAAGAAATGTGTTTCTAGTATAGCGTTTTTCTTCTATTTCAAAACAGATAAAATTAAAACTGGGTACAGTTGATAACCTTTAAACACCTGAACGAATTCAAAGATCAGTTGTCAAAATTTTTAATCTTAAACGGTAAAATAAATTTAATTTTTATCCTCTTTCTGGTCTGTAACACATATTGTAAACTAATTTTAGTCAAAAACGGAAAGTGGCAAGAACCAACAGCCAAAATATTAAGGGTACTTTTTACCCTAAACCCCCCTAGTTTAAGACGCTCCTGAGTAAAAATTTGGACATTTTATCTTTGAATTCGTTTGGGTGTATAAAGGTTATCAGTTGCAAAATATTGTGATTTTATCTACATTTTTCTGAAACATTGAAAAAATCCATTGCACCCCTTTCAGGAGATGTACCTCCCTCATATAAAATTTTTCGATAGATACATGTTTATAGGAAACTTTTATCTTAAAATTGAATATTCTATCACCTGTTTAAATTTGCAACAATAAAAATGGAACACTTTGTATACACAAAAATGTAAATTGTAATATTTTAACGACAACAGAAAAATGACATTTTTATGCCTGTAACAATATATAAGTACCAGAACCTCCACACAAGTTTCAACCGCTATGCTAGTGCGTGTTGAGGAAGTTTTTATTGCAAAACGTTCAGTTTCTGCTTGAACTGTCTGGAAAGTTTACAAAGTCGTGTC